CAGGACAGCAGCTCCCAACCATGCCCAGGTGGGACAGGTAGCACAGAGCTACCTGTGATCACAGACCAGAGATCCCTGATGAACTCTCTGCCTAACCTCTGCCTCTTCCGAAAGTCAGCATGTCCCATCCACAGGAGGGAGAATGCAGAGATTTGTGCAACAATTCATAATTGCACAGCTCAATCACTCAGCACCTGTGAAGCACCTGGAACCCATGGGAGTCAGGTCATTACATAACATCTGGATTTGATTTAGCCACACAAAGGTAGCTCAGCAGTTTCCAGAAGTTCTGAGGAGCCCTGCAGTGTGGCAGGAAAGCAGGTGATCAACACCCTTGAAAAATTCATGTGAATTGGCTTAATGGAGATATACAAGGGGCAAATTTTGGTTCCAGACACAGAAGGACTAATGTTAGAAGCAGAGTGCTGGGATATCAAACCCTTACAGAAAGAGAACAGTCCTACAGTCCTTCACTGTCCTACCAGCGCAGTGAAGCTACAAGGGATGTGGAAGCTGCTGGAGAAGTTTAATTTGGAAGCTGCAGACAGCAAAAAGCTCCTTTGCAGAGAGGATTTGCACTTAAGAAATACTAAAAACTTAGAAAGTTAAAAAAAAAAAAAAAAAGAATAAAGCAGACCTTAAAGCAGCACATTCGGTGAAAATCTCACACTGACTCTGGCAGCACCTTCTCTGAAGCAGTGACCTGCTCAAAGCCAGAGATACTCAAGTGTGTTACAGACCACATCATCTCTGTCTTGCAGAGATCACTGGCCAAATGAACTCCTAAACTCTTGGAAGGAAGAGGAAGGTTAAACACAAGACAAAATTCATCAATTTGCAAAAACTGCTCCTGAAAAAATTACAGAAGAAACATTGTTCCAGCACTGAAGCCACAGTGATGTTTGTATGAGAAATTAAAGCCTGGTTACCACAGGCTCCCTCAGTCACTGAGATGTCTCTGCTGAGGCTTTAGAGGGTGCATTTCATTTGTGCTGACTTGAAAATACAAGTGATTATATCCAGATTCTGCAACTTTCAGGAAACAGGACAGAATCAGTCACAGAAAAAAATTCAAATTCTTGGTACCTTTGACTCTGAATATTGCCTCCAAGGCTTCCAGGCAGCACTCCCTGCCACAGAAAAGTATCACATAGCAGAAAGGTAACAAAAATCAGTAATAATAAAGATGTGAGGTGACAATTACAGAAACGAGGAAGAGACAGAGAAATATTTACAGGAAAATTCATACAAGTAGTAGGAAGTATACCAGTTTAGGATATTCCCCTTTGGGGTTTAGGTTTTGGGGTTTTTTTCAAAAGTGGTAGGAACTCTCTCAGGTTACTTCCTAAAAAGGTCCACCAGCTGCAGGCTATGCAGCTACAGAGCCTGACCCCACATGCCAGAAGGGGATGGGAAAGCCTAAGAGGAGATTAAAAGAGCAACAGACACCTCAGAGAGGCTTTGGAACAGCCAGAAAAAACCTCTCCAGGAATAACAGTCCCTGAACTACACAGAAAAAAAGGAAGCAGCACAGTCTGATGTGCAATTGGACCTCCACTGGCTTTTGAAGCATCCAGCAGAACATCCAACACACTCGTGGGGCAGCAATCTGGGAAGTGTGTGACTCTCCCAGGTGTCACAAGAAGAAGCTCCACGCAGGGCAGCTCTGGAAAGCTTAAATCCCAATAAATCCAGGAAGACACTCACAAGCTATAGGGAGACTGTGGAGTTCAACTGGACACCTGATAAACATCAGATTTGTACAGTAAGAGAGATGAGTTCATTCTGTCACCTTTCCAGGTGAACTGCAATGCTCTGGTAATCAGGTTCTCAAGAGGTGGCAACTCTGAGTCAAGAGACTTCCCAGCCAGCAGACAGAACACTCAGGAAGCAGCATGCTGCCAACCACGTGCCAAACAACATCCTCTGTGCTTGCCCATTTCCTGGCAGATCAATCTAAATCCTCAACATCCAGGTACCACTGCACAAGAATACAAAGCTTTCCAGACAACCAAAAATCTCATCTACAGCCAAATGGTTTCCATCTTGGTTTCAAGAGCAATGGGCAGCACAGCCCAGCCAGAAATCCTGCCATGCACAGCCACAATCACACCTCACATCACTCCTGGTAGTGTGATCTGAATTTCCTTTTAGCAAAGGCAACCAGTTCTGTAAAGCTTCCACATAGATAACGGAGTAATCTAATTTTGTTTGTGACCTAAATCCTACTTGGACACAGGACAGATGAGGTAAAAGGTGGGATGCTTTCCAGTTGGTATAATGGGCTGGAATTTGAAGAGCTCACCCTAACCATGGCTTGTGTCCTCCAGCCTCTGCAACGTCTGCTGCAGGAAAAACAAAGTTAGCAGCTGTTAATCTGGTCTAAGTGACAAAGTCAGCCTGAACAACTCACAGGAGCTGTGGGCTAACCTGGCAGATCTCCACAGCCTCAACTGCTCCCCAGCCTGCACAGCATGGTGATCACACAGCCTCACTGCCTGACCAGACACCAGCCACCAGTAAAACTCTCACCTCTTCTCTCTAGACTCCATCCTTCCATCAGTACAACTCTTCTCTAGGCTCCATCCTTCCATCAGTACAACTCTTACCTCTTCTCTAGACCCCATCCTTTCAAGTATGAATTATATTCCCCAATTTCTGTCTGTAACTGAGGCTCTATTCTGCCTTATCCTGTACAGGTCACATGTAAAATTACGTTTACAACTGTGCTGGATGCCCTACAGACAGGAAGGACACACATCTTGCCTAGATGAAAATCTCTTTGCAATTCCCAAGAAGATTTGGTGGCAGCAGTTCCAGCTGAGCCAAGCAAGACACAAACACACCTCCTCCATCAAATGCAGTCACAGAACCAGAATGGACCTTCCTTCCAAACCCCTGCATTGCTTTCTGCTGCTCAACATACCATCTCAGGCAGAAGGACACCCCTGGATTGGTGGATCCAAACCACAGAACCCCAAATTTCATGTGAGAAATGAAACCTCTCTGTATCTTCAGATCCACCCATCTGGAGCAGGACAATCCCCAGCAGTGTGGAGCCAGTGCTCATTTCAGGAGGACACCCAGGATGAGAAGTGGCTTGGTGAACACAAACACACTGCATCAGGAACTCGTCTGGGAGAGGAGGTCTGAAACATCCAGCTCAAATCCAAAGTCCAGGAAAGGTTTCTAGCCTACTGAGGAAAACTCATTGCAGCATCTCAGGGAAGAAGGCAGGAGACAGAGATACATCAGCTGCCAGACAAACACTGGACAGAAGCGTGATGATGAGAAGATGTCAACACTGCTTTTGAGGAACAGCATCTGCTAAGGCCACACAGAGGAAACGAGGACAATTTGCTGCACCCAAGCTCAGCCAGCCTCACCACAGAGAAAGCAACCAAGCCAACAGCATCCATCTCTTCCAAAAAGAAATGGCCATTACAGCCTGCAGCCTCCCAGGAAAGCTTTAGCACAGACACATCACCATCAACTGCGGCACTTGAACAGCTATCACATCCAACCCAGAACCCTGCAAGCCTCAGACCATTAACCAGCCCAGGATCCAATCCCTGCCAACAACTGCAGCTCCCACAGAGAAAGAGCAGCACCTGTCTTGCACAGGGTTGACAATCACTTGCACAAACATGAAATTTAAGATGTCACAGACTAACAACGAAAGCTCTTCTGTACTAGACAGGAGCCACTGTGACTTCCAGTGAATCTGAGACAGAAATCCACACAGATAAGCACAGAAAATTCAAATCCCTATAGATGGCTGATGGTGGGGACTCACTAGCTGAGACTAAGTCCTTTATTCAATGAACTCACAAGGTCAGAGAGATGAAAGAGCCCCAGAAGGGGTTTTGCAGAAAATCTTAACAAGAGTTTGATGATGTGTTGAGACAGAAAAACTAAGTCTCTACATGTGAACTCTATAACGAATAAAAATACTCTATTTCAGAGAGGAGAGAGAAGGAAAGAAGAGAACTTGCTGGACAGGTCACTCAAGATCTTAAGAATAATCTAAAGTACTCTATAAAATTTCTCTATATTGTAATTACCATCAGTAACTCATCAGAAACATGTTGCTAACTTGATAAAAGCTTGTTTGAAAATCCCCAAAGCTCCCAGGAACAGAGCCCAGCAGGTATGTCCTGGGGAAGCAGAAGGCCCTGAGCTCCAGGAGAGAGGCAGAGCCATGCAGAGCCAAGCAGGAGCAGCCTGTGACAGGGACACTCAGAGAGCCCAGGCAGCAGGGAGGCTGCAGCTGCAGATTCTGAGACCTGACACTGACAAAACTCCTGAGACCTTTGAGAAGAAAAATGTGGGACATGTTTTACATGCTTGCCGCATCTGCCACAGGGACTGGCTGCAGAGCAGCACTGTCCAGCTAGATTGGTGGATCTGAGGATACAAAGCTGATCTTTTTGGTGCTGATGTACCCTGGTATTTATTAGAGTCAGGAACAGCTCTGTGCCACACTTGCTGTCAGACTTTGGACAGGGATATCCTGGGGCTAAACTGGCTAGAAAATTCACTGAGACCTAATCTCTGCGTAACTGCCCTAACATCTCCCTGCTGCTAAAATGATAATCCTCAACCTTTGTCTGTTTTAGTGCTGAAAACAATTCTATCACAGTTACGAGTTTCACAAGTAACACAGAAACAAGAAATTCTAACAAAATATAATAAGCTGAATAAAGATACAGGAAAACAACAGTGAATCAGTCTAGACATTAATTATAGGTGTATCTAGCATTATCAGCTACAATACTCAATCAATTCTGGAAGGCATTAACTCCAGTGTAAACCAAGAAGATCCCAATTTAACCTTCTTTTTAATTCTGGGGAAAAATATTTTACAATGACTCAAAACTGAGAGATTTAAACAAACTGACAAATAACTGGACTAACCAAATTGCATTTAACTAACGCTGGGTGTTGGCTAATTCATTTCAAAGTTGTTCCACTAGTTGTGCCATTGGCTTTATACTCACATGTGTGGATTTTGGAAAGGAACTCCAGAAGTATTTAGAGTAAATCTTGCTGTGGACTTGAAAGGTGGATTTGCAAAATTTAACTTCAGCGCTTTGCGTTTACCTGGGAGACAATGAACATAAAGTGAACTTTTTGTCAGCACAAAATATTGAGAGCATCTGGAAATAAACAGGAACAAAATGACATCTTGTAAGAAAAGGATTTTACATTTTACAACATTAGCAAATCACAGCTTGTGTTAGGACATAGGGATGGTGACACAGAGTCAGCTCTCATACCAAAGTGTTCCCCAGCCCATTCCAAGGCAGTTGCCAAAGCAAAGCATCCACAGCCCCTCCTGGGACAGCTGGAGCACGTGGATCACCTGCCAGGGCTCCAGCAACCACCACCTCCATCCCCAGGGCTGAGCATCCTCCACGTACACCTATGGGGCACAGAGGCCCGACCTGCCACACACAGCCTGGGGGATGGCTCTGAGGAGGGACAGGGCACCTTGGGATGTCCTTTATATGAGCTCAAAGCACAGGATGGCTGTTGGGGTCCAGGGATTTCTTCTATTATCCTTTGAGTCTGTTTTGTTCACACACCTAAAACCCCAGCCTCTGTCCAGGGCAGTTACATTGTGTTGGAAGATTTCTCCCTTTCTCACAGCAATATTTATACAGCTCAGGAGGACATGGGACTTGACATGGTCCAGGATTAAAACTGACACAATTAACTACAAACCCTCATCACAAAATCTCTTCACAGCCTGCTCCTATTCTCATTATTTGTAAACTTTATGCACCAAGTTTCTTTCTGTTTTTACTCAGGACACTTTGTAACTCACTTAAATATTGGTCTATTGATTTCAACCTCAGTAGGTTTCTAAGGATAGTTTCAATTATGTCAATTCACCATGTGAAGCTGGATTTTCTACAAATCCAACAAATACAGAAGCTCAGGCTGCCCCTGGGAAGCAAACAGGATGGTTTGTTTCTGCTCAGCTGATGAACAAGGAATGTGACCAGGAAAAATGAACATCCTGAGAAATGCCAGGAATTTCCATCCAGCACAGATCACATGGAAATGTACTGTAAGTGAAACAACAGACTCAAATGAAGCAAAGTCTGAGGAGAGCCAAAGCAAACTGTGCTCCCCAGCAGCCTTCCACAGCTTCAGCTGTGGATTCCAAACCTTGAGTTTCACCCTGAAAAAGACTTTTTACCCCATGTTTCTATTCCTTGCAGACACATCCTTCTAACTGGAGGCAGAGGAGCCCCTTTAGGTGCAGTTTAGCTGTGATTTTGCTACACAGGTTCATTACAGACCACCCTGCCTCACTACAACAAAGAGGGGTGGGGGAGATGGTGCCTCTGGAATTCACTAATGCTCATCACCACCAGGGCTATGTGACCAAAACTGCCTGAAAATGTGCTGCAGAAATATCCACCCTATATAAATTGTCTTTTAAAGGTTCTGCTAACTTAACACATAATTCTAATCATCAACCATTATAGCATCTACTTCTCTGAGGACTTTTACAGTAAAGACTATGGGAGAGAGAATGATTCAGAAGAAACCAAAACTAACTCTGAAATAAATAACTTTTTCACAGATTAGGGTAATCCTCAACACCAGAGCTGAAATTATGGAATTTCTTGATTTATGGTCCTCCCAATTGTGACCACTGGGTTTGTTCAGCTGCATGTTAATGGTTATACCAAGTCCAGACCATATTTGAAACCAGGATCGCCCAGATTTCAGCTGAGCAAAGGTGGTAGGTACTACTTTATGTTTTGAGGGAATCTAAACAGGACTGTATCCTATGTTAGGGTGCTCTCCAAGAAGAAAAAAGACAGCAAAAAAGAGCTTTCTGGTTGTAAATAAGTTCATCTACCCATAAGGATAGCCATCTTTATTGCAAATCATCCCAGCTTTAAAGTGGTAATGGTGATGGTGTCCTCAAAACAATTTTTAAAAGGATGTCATCATTCCACCACCAGGCCTGTGCATGGAACTGAAGTCCAGGAGTGTCCCCAAATGCCCAGCCCTTGGCTTTCCATAGATCACAGCCAAAATGGACATTGGGAAAAGCACCTACACAACAACTCCAGAAAAATTTGAGCTCACAGCAGCCCTTGTTCCTTGCTGCACTGGTGAATGGGTATGAGGCCAAGGACAGAATTATTTATGTGCTGCTATCCGTCACCAGATTTAATCCAAGCACTTGGCTCTGCAGTTAAGTTCTCATCACTGCGAGGCGCCTTCACCACCACCACAGCCAACCAGCCCTCACAAAACAAGAAACAGCTGTCTAGCAGGTCACATGCAGGCCAAAAGTTTTCCTCCAGAGTTAGATTGTGTACTACTATTTTTACTTCACCTAGGACTTCTATGATTTACAGAATCACAAAATCTTAAAGGCTGGAAAGAGCTCTAAGATCACAGAGTCCAACCATCACTTCAGCACCATCTTGTTCATCATTAAACCATGGCATATCCACATGTTTTTATACTTCCAGGAATGGGACTCCACCACACTCCTGGGCAGCACCTTCCAATGCTTGACAGCTGAAGAAATTATCCCTAATATCCAATCTAAACTTCTTCTGGCACACCTGAGGCCGTTCCCTCTGCTCTTGTCCCTGTTCCCTGGAGCAGAGCCCAACCCTCCCGGCTGTCCCCTCCTGTCAGGAGCTGTGCAGAGCCACAAGGTCTCCCCTGAGCCTCCTGTTCTCCAGGCTCAGCCCCTTCCCAGCTCCCTCAGCCTCTCCTGGAGCTCCAGACCCTTCCCAGCTCCATTCCCTTCCCTGGGCATGCTCCAGCCCCTCAAAGTTTGTCTTGTCATGTTAGATTCGAGGAGCCTCAGCAGTGCCCACACAGAGGGACTGGCACTCTCCTGGTCCTGCTGGACACACTGTGGCTGGTACAGGATGCCCTTGGCCATTTCTCCAAGCTTCTGAGTCACTTCCTGTTGGAGAAAGCAATTCCAACTCTTCCCAGAATTTCCTCACCACCATTCCTGCATGCCACACCCCAAGAGCACTGCTTCCCATGTTCAGGTTACACAGAACAAAATGCTCCCTTTTCAAGCAGCAGGATTTTCAAAACAGGAGTAGTTTAATGGATTTTTCCAAAGTTTCTATCCTCCAAGAGTACAAAATGATCCCTGTAAAAATATTTTCCACTCTGTTCAACTCTGCAGGATCAAGCTCTTGATTGAGCAACGTCAAGGGAGCACAAGTCACAGTGTTCAGGTGAGTCCCAGTGCACAGGTAAATATTCTTGCTCGTCAGATGCTGAAGTCACTCTCTGCTTGTGGAGTGATGATACACCAGGAATCAAATCTGCACTCTCTCTCCTTCCTATAACCAGGAAAAAAAGAGACACAACCACAGAAACACAAGCTGTGACAGCACACAGCAGGAAGGAAAGTCAATGGATCTGCAATGAACTGTGCAATCTTTCTACCTCTCCCTTGTAGTATTGAAACACATCAACAAAAAGACAGAGGAAATGGGGAAAATTGATTATTTACTTCCATTTGTAAATAGAACTCAATGCTTGAGGTAATTTTCATAGTAGAAAACTATCACCTCTGATTTCTTCCAACTTAATTCCAAGCAAAGCTAGTGCAAACTCTAAGGTGAGACATGAAAAAAAAACCCAAAAAACAACACAGATCTCTGCTCTTCCAACAGCTTTAAAAAACCAAACTGCTGTATCTTGTCTGCTAACAAAATGCCTGCTTTGATGTAGAGACAGCAAAGAACATTTACCTGCGTTCAGAGCTGCAGCCCTGCAGTTGCTGACATCCTGAAGGCTCCCAGGATTTCCAGCTGGTTATTCCTGCTGCTGTGAGCACAGCTCTGCCTGCCCACAGACCCTTCCAATCTACCATCTTGCACTCCTATTTCCTTCCTTCCCAGTCTTGTTCATGGATCTACTCCAACACCAGCACAACTCATTTGAGACTAGAGGAGGTTTCTAGTCTTACACTCAAAATAAACTATTTTTCAAGAAAATCTAGTCAAATTTTGCAACAAATCCTGAAGAACTTCAACATATCATACAGTTCTATTTGAGGAGTCTGGATGAAAGAAGTGGCCTGGGGTTTGATTTATGAGTTTTAAGAGGTGCAACCACAGAAATTCACTTTAAAGGGTACAAATATTTTCAGTGCATCTCTTATGATATTTTTAGCCCTTCAATGAAACCTTCAATTTTATACGATCTGAGAGTCAGCATTCGAATCTGAAATGATGATTTTGCCCTGGAGTAAGCTAAGTATGCTCATTTTTAGGAGTCACCTCATTAGAAAGAGGATTTAGCCATAATTCACCCACAGCCACAAGTGTGCTTCCAACTAGGGACTACAAACACCCAAGCCTAGAGCAGCCAGGACTCTGGAAGGATTACTGGCCACTGTAATGAGCACATTCCATGGCAAAACAATCGTACTAGACAATATTTTAATGAGACATCTGCATGATTTGGGGCTGGGGGGCAGCTCACAGCTGCACCAGCAGGCACCCACCCACCAGTGCAGGATAAGGGCTACATCCAACAGCACTTCCAGCATCTATAAATACCTCCACCACAATGCCTGCTAAAGTAGGTTAAGCTTAGAGGGCAAGAAATTGCAATCGGATTAAGATTAGTTCCCTCAGACTGGAAACTCCCAGGAGCAAAACCTGAGAATGAAGTCTCTGCACTCTCCAAAACCCACTGGGAACCTTTAATATTATCCCTGATGCTTTAATATTTAACCTTTAATATTTCCCTGCATGGAAACACCATTTGTATAAAGAGGGTTAAAGCTCCCTGCCCAGAGGAGGGTGCAGCACTAGGATGAAACAGCAGCTTCCAGCCCAAGCTGTGGTTCAAGCAATTTCCAGCTGGAGAACAGCACATCACACATGGCTCACAGCCACAGCCCAGCACCAAGCCTGGTGGAACACTGCTGCAGAGAACCTGCAGGGCTCAACTTTCCACACAGGAGGTGCTGCCACACCAGGAGTCTGTGTCTGCTCTCACAGCAGCACTTTGCTTCACCCAAAATATTCCTGCAAGCTGTGCCCAAAGTAGCCAGGGCATAGCCCTGCAGAGCTGAGCCTGTC